CCTAGAGTATACACACTGGGAGGCATTTCCTGGAACGAGTAAGGGCCATCGAGCCCGAGTCAGGGGCCATGAAGCCAAAACAAATCAGACTGAGCCCAATATTGAGCCAGACTACGCGGGAGTAAATCAGGGTCAACAATAATGTGCAAGATTGGGCTGGCTTTCGACCACGGAGCTACCAGCGACGATGCTGAATCTGACCTCCCAGGGGTTGCATCCCAATGAGTACGCCCTCCTGGCTTGAGCATGCGGGCGTACACGCTGGGAAAGGGTCTCAGACCTGGGGGGGTCCAAGACCTGGAAAAGTCACGGCATTAGAGTTCTGGCGAGAAGGGATGATGAGGAGGAGGAGGAGGCGGAGGAGAAGAATAACTACTAATAATAAGGCGAATAAGCACTAAGAACAATGATACGAATGATACTAAGAACACGAAGATAAAGAGAACTAGTAATAATGATAATAAGAAACTTATCAGAAACAAGATAAGGAGAAGGCACATGTGAATAATGGTCCGAACAACGAAGCATAAGACGAATAATAATACCAATAGTAATATATGACTAATAATCATGTTACGAATGCTAATATTCATACGAATGATACGAATGGTAATAATAATAACAATGATAAGAATAATAATAAGCATAATAATAATACGAATAATAAGCATAATAAAAACAAATAATAATAATAATGATACTAATAATAATGATACTAATACTACTAATAACGATACAACAAAGAGTACTACGATTACTACAACTAATAAGCAAGAAGAGTAATAACAATACTGAGGGGAAGAAAAAGAGGAAACACAATGATAACAAGAAGGGAGAAGGAGGAGGAGGAGGAGGAGGAGGAGGAAGAGGAGGAGGAGGAGGATGGAGGGAGGGAGGGAGGAGGGAGGAGCAGGGAAGATAAGGAGAAGCAGGAGGAGGAGCAAAAGGAGGAGGAGGAAACAGGAGGAAGAGAGGGAGGTTGAGGTCCTGGATGGAGGGAGGAGGAGGAGGAAGAGGAGGGGGGAGGAGAAGAGAGGACGAGGGAAGGAGGAGGAGGAGGACGAGGGGGAGGAGAAGGAGGAGGAGGTGGAGGAGGAGGAGGACGACAACGAGGGAAAGGAGGAGGAGGAGGAGGAGCAGAAGGAGGAGGACGAGGATGAGGGAGGAGGAGGAGGAGGACGAGGAGGAGTAGGAGGAGCAGGAGGGAGGAGGGAGGAGGGAGGACGGAGGAGGAAGAAGGAGGGAGGAGGGAGGAGAGAGGAGGGAGGAGGGAGGAGGAGGACAAGGAGGAAGAGGAGGATCGGCGCACACACCGATCCTGCGCCCAGTATCATCATGGCCAGGGCCGGTGTAGACGTACAGTTTGCGCCCTCCAAGGCTTGCGGCACCCGCAGCGTGGCCGCGGCGCCCGCCAGCGGGAATGCCATTGGCAGACATGCGCACTGAAGCCGCCGCCTCCTCCTCCTCCCCCTTCTCCTCTTCCTCCTCCTTCCTCCTCCTCCTCCTCCTCCTCCTTCTCCTCCATCGTCTCCTCCTCCTCCCCGGTTTCTTCCTCATCTTCTTCGTCCTCCTCTTCCTCCTCCTCCCTCCTCCTCCTTTTCCTCCTCCTCATCCTTCTCCCTTCTCTCCTCCTCCCCCTTTGCTCCTCCTCCTCCTCCTCCTCCTCCTCCGCACTGGTGCACGCGGAATAAGGCAGGGCAGGAGGTGGGGTTCAAGTAATATCCATCGGGACGTCCCCCCTGCAAGAGGGCGGAAGAACAGGAGTAGGAGGAGGAGGAGGAGGAAGAGGAGGAGGAGAAGGAGGAGGAGGAGGGGAGGGGGAGGAGGAAGAGGAGGAGGAGGAGGAGGACCACCAGTGTAAACCCAAGACCCATCATCGATGCTTAGTAGACCCTCCCTTCAAGCTCCCTTTTTCAAAGGGCCCCTTATAAAAAGGGTTCATATCCACCGAGGGAATTGCCCCGTAGACAGAAAACCGCGTGGAAATCCTGAGGCGTGCCCAAACAGTATTCTCTGGACTTCAACGCCACGAGTTAACATGACTGGTACGCTCTGGCGATCCCGAGCCGTGCTGCAACACAACACCTGGGACTTCAACACCGCGAACCAGCGTAACTGTTGCGCCCTGACAATCTTGAAGCGCTCCAAAAGACCATTTCATGCCTGGTACATTTCACCATGAAAAACCAATGAAATGCGCGCGATTGTTTAAAACAAATACGCGCGGCGCAAACGCGGGAACCACGTTTTGAGAACACACCGCCCTCAATCCGTGAAACTCTTGCACTTGTTGAAAGAATTGCGCAGTCCAAAGGCGAAAACCACATTCTGAAAACGACCCGCCCTCAGTCCGTGGAACTCTTGCGAATGTTAAAAAAACGACGTGCGCAGCGCTACGGCGAAAAAAACCGTTTGAAAACGACCCGCCTTCAGTCCTTAGAACTCTTGTAATATTTGTTTACACAGATACGCATGGCGCTAAAGCGAGAACCACATGTTTGAAACGTCCCGCCCTTATCCGGCGAAGCCCTTCGCAACTTTTAAAAGCAAAAGTGCGCGACGCTGAGACGAGAGCAATGTCAAAAACGGCCCGCCCTCAATCCATGAAATTATAGCGGCATATTCACAACGAATGTGCGCGGCGTTAAGGCGAGAGCCACAGTTTGAGAACGGCCCGCCCTCAATCTATGAAGTGTTTGCAATTGTTTAAAATCAAACGCGCGCGGCGCAAAAAAAAAACCCAAAAAAAAACATTCTGAAAACCGCCCGCCGTTCACGTGTGAAACTGCCGTCAACTTCTAAGCGTCAGGACCGCATGCGGCAAGGAAGTCTCAGGCGAACCGCCCGGCCGCCCCTTCGACCGGCTTCGGGGTGCGACGAGGAGGGGTTATCTGTAAAGAAAAGGAATGGAGGGAGAGGTTTGCGCTGGCGGGGCCAAGGGGCGCAGCGTGATTGGCAGCCAACGGCCTCGCGCCGAAGGGCGCGATCAAAGGGCGACGAACACCTCCCAGGAGGGGAAAAGGGGTGCCTCCGTCGGAAAAGCACAGAACCAGCGCAGACGGGAGCGGCCCCTGGACCAAGCCACACCTGGGCCTCATCCTCATTCTCCAACAAGGGCAGGACCTCGAGGTCCTTAAATTTGTGGTCGAGAGCGGACGAGCCAAAAGGGACATGTCTCAGGCCGCTTCCCGCGCCCAAAAGCCCGGCGACACTGCGCGGGCGACCGCCGCGCCGCAGCCTGCGCAGGCGGTCCGAGGCCGCAGACCAACGCGGGCATCTTCCGCGGCAATATTGGCCGAGCTCCTGGGCACTGTGCCCACTGTAGGCACCGCAGGCGCTGCAGAACACAAAGTGGCCAAACCGCCCAGACGCGGCGGCCAGCGCCTGGCTTACACGGGCTAGCTCTCAGCGCCTGGACGGCGCAGCCAGACCTCGGGCACCTGATGCGCCCAGAGCCGCGACTGGGAAAGCACAGGGTCGCGGGCGCCCGCGGGAGGCGCAGCATCATCGGAGAGCCGAGTGGCGAATGCCCCCCCCTCCGAAGCCCCACCTCGTGGCGGGCGGCCGACGACAAGCTGGGCCCAGCAGCTCGAAGCGCCCCGGCCACCAGGGGCTCGCCAACACGTTGGACCACCCGGCGAGACTTGACCACGCGCTCCTGGGCAGCAGTACGGGATGCATCTGGGCGCCACGGCGCGCCGACTCGGCGGCAGCTCCGTTGCCGAGGCGGCGCCACCTGGCACGCCCATCGCGGCCATCGTTGCGCGCGCATGACCTCGCACCTTGGCGACAATCACCTCGCCCCCCAGGTCCCGAACGCGATCCCGCGCCCCCTCCCATAGGTCAGCACAGGCATGCAAGGCACCTGTGGTCTCGGCGCGGCCTCCACGGAAGCTCGAGACAACCCATTCGCAATCTGAGAGGTACTCATGCGCGCCGAGGCCGACGCTATCGATGGACCCTGGGGCCGCCGGCAATCAGCGCGCGACGCGAACCACCCCCGAAACGCGGCCCTTCGAACCTGCCCGAAGCTGGTCTGGCATGCCAGCGCACGAGCAAACCCATCGCGGGACGAGGAAGCCACCAGCGCACGGCACCGAAGCGGCCAGTCGGGATGATGCTTCGCCCCCCCCCCCGGAGCGAACGCGGAACGAGATAGTCGCGCCGATAAGCCCAAGTGCAAACAGCCCCCCGAACGCCCGTGCCCCGCAGTCCCGGGCCCCTCTCCGCACATGGAACACGCTGGGCCCTCGCGCAAGCCCACGCTGCGCAGCCTCTCATCTCCCCCAAAACCGTCGGCAGCCATGCGTCTGAGCGCGGCCTGGCGCATGCCAGACCAATCAAGCTTAGGCCCCATGGGAGAGGATGGCCTTGAAGGGAGCATGGTAGGGAGCATGGGACAGACCATTAAGGTAGCCCTCTGCGTAGCGGGCCTCGTCGAGCAGCCAAGCCTCGGCACCCCGCTGGTCTATCATCTTCGCGGCGGGGGGGGGCACTCGCGACGACGATCCATCGCATCTCCGCCGGCCGCGCAATCTGCCTGCACCTGTCCCGAAGGTCCAACCGACACCGAAAAAAGACGCGGTCGCGGCCCGAAACTGGGCCCGTCACGCGGGCCCAAAGGTCCCTGACCCCTCGCAGGGCCTTGTCGGCGGCAAACAGCACGCTACCCAGGGTCCCCCATGGACCTGGACAGCCAAGACCCCCAAAAGGCTTGGACCAACATCGCGGCGGGGTCCACCGCGGACGGGTAGGCGGGGTCGACGGCGGCGGCATCACCATGGACCTGCGCGAGATCGATGGTAAGCGAGCGTCGGGCAGCGCGGCGAACGGGGGGCGGGGGCCTGGCGGCCCCGCGCAAGGCCACCGCGCCACTCCAGGATCTGCCCGTTATACCATCGGCCCCAGCGCCGACGGGAACGAGCCCCAGGCTGACCAGTTGCTTGCACCGACCCCTCGCCCTGCGCAACGCTAAGATATTTACGCACCGCCCCTTGCACCTCGCCCAGGCGCCCCAGCCGCGCCTGCACGCCGACAGGCTTGCCGCAGGCGAAGTCGCAGCCCAGGTTCCTCGTCGACCGATCCCGCGCCTGCACGAGCAAGGGAGACCTGCGGCCGAACTCCTCGGCTGCCTCGAAGTCGCCGCTCACGGGCTTGCCTTTCTTCTCGTTCACCAACGGCCCGACCTCCTGCAGCTCGCCCCTGATTTTGCGGCACGCTGCGCCACTCTCCTCATCACCGTCAGCCGCGCACCCGACGCCTGCATCTGGATGTCGTCGACCACGCTGCCGTCCGAGATGCCATGCATCATCGCCATGGCGCCCAGGATGGAGATGAGGAAGCTGCGCGTCATAAGGTCAGCGAAGGAACCACCTGCCACCACGGCGCGCCTGGGCGCGAGCAGCTCGATCACCGCCCCTTTCGTAGTAGGACAACAGCCGCGGTGTCGAGTGCAGCATGAACAGAAACCTCAGCAGGCACCCGTTGAAGCCGAGCCCTCCTCGAGCTCGCTCTTGGAGCTCGCGCCAACGAATGTACTCGCACGCCTTGGACAAGTCCAGCAGGATGGACAGGCAGGTACTCTTGTTGGTCGCGGTCCATTCACCTGCCGCAGCTAGCCCCCATGCACGCGCGTCGCAGATCTGGCCTCCGCCCCGACGATGCAGCTGCGCTTGTTCTGGCCGGCCCACCGCGCCCCCATCGCAGACCGAAACCACCTACTCAGGGGGCGCACCGTGCCAGGGAAGATTCCGATGGCGCGCCTGCCGCCGTCGGGCTTGGGAAAGAACACCCCCCGCATGACCCGATTCGAGTCGGGCGCGAACACCATCTGCAGCAAGGCGCTGCACCGCGCGCGGAAGGTCTGGAGGGCGTCGTCGCTCAGGAAGACCACGCGCCTGGGGTGGGCCACCTCGCAGCCGAGGCCCGTGACGGAGCAGCACGCGTGGGCGACACCTGCGATAGCAGGCCTTGCTGGTAGCACGATCGGCGCACGTCTCGAGGTCACGCATCAAGAAGTCCAGGTCCTCGTCGCTGCGCTGGTCCAGTCGCCGAACCAGCAGCAACCGTGCCCCCGCATGTCGGGCCATCGCGTCTTCTGTGGCAACGAGAACTTTGCGGGGCGGCGCTGGAGGCCGCGCAGGCGTCGTCGTCCGAAGGTCGACTCGTTTCTCCCGACCGTCTCCCGTCGCCGCCTCCACTCCCGCAGGAGTTGGGCAAGCCACTGCCAGCGGCTCTCGCAGGAGCCCGCGGACCCCCGACCCTTCGCCTGACTGCGGCAGTGCATGAGGAGGGTGGAGTGGACGATCCGAACACTGAACACCATCTGCGCGCCCACGGTGTCGCTCGGGCTGGTCAACCCCGGAGTCCTGGATGAGCTCGTCCTCGTACCTGCCGAACCACAGGCCGTCTAAGACGTCCAGGTCCTGCTTCGATGTAACCGCCTCCGCTGACACCTGGACATCCTGCCAGCTCGAGGCGGGCAGCTGAGGCCCGACCATCTGGCCTGACGGGGAAGCCTTGGGCATGTGAGCCCTCTGCACCGTCGGCGGCATCTGCTGCGCGCCCAGGTCGAGGATGGCGCCCCTGTGGGGCGCGACTGAGAGCCCGTCGCAGGTGCGCGCTGGACACCCTCGGAGATCTCGCGCTCGACGCCACGCAGCATGTAGCTTGGTCGGGGGCCACCACATTGCCCTTCACAGACGCAGGCCATCTCGCACTGTTGAGTGACTCTGAGAGGTTCGGTCGATCGCCCCCACACGCACGCGGCCGCCCTGCCGCGTGGAGAACGCTGCCGACCTGGACCATGGCGTCAAACTCGATGTCCTCGAGGTCCTTGCTGGCGCGCAGGTGCAGCAAGGAGAAGACAAGGCCCCCCTTCGGGCCTATGTCGGTGGTCCAGAAGCCCTGCCGAACAGAGCCTGCCGCGCCCGCGGCACCGCCGCCGTTGCCCGCGCGCCGAGCGGGATAGAGGTCAGCCCTCCAGCACTGCGCCTTCGCCGCTTTCGTCGCCGACTCGACCCTGCTCTCGTCGCGGCGGCGCTCCTGGATCAGCGCCGCCAGCGCATCCTCGGGGATGCGCTTCTCCTCCAGCTGCGTGAGGAGCGGACCCCGGCCCGTCGCGTTGACCGCCGTGATCTTGCACGCCTCGCCTCGGCGCCGAAGTCCTGGCAGTGGGCGGGGCTCGGGCGTCGCCTTGCCCGCCGCCCTCTCAGGGTCTAAGGCCTGGAGGGCCTCCTGGTTGCCATCCACCTCCAAGGCCCGCCGCGCCTCGCGGTGGCGATCCTGGCCAAGTCGAGGTAGCTCGGCGTCGTCAGCGCCGGGCAGCCCTGCACTCGCCACCGACGCGGCCGCGCAAAGACCGCTGGTCATCGAATGCGCGCGCGTCACTCCCAATGACGAAGCCGCTTTCGCGTCGCGCCCACTACTTGGCGACTGCGTGCCCGAGGTGCCCCCCGCCCTGGGGGCCCCCTCGGGACTTTCTCCAACTCCACGCGGCGACTTTGAGCCCGGGGCGCCCCCTCCCAGGGGGGCCCCCTCAGGGCCAGCGTTCTGGCGGCCTTGTCGTCGCGCAGGTCGCCGTCGACGCCCCCGCGGCCTGCGGCGCGCCGCCCGCTCGACGCCGTCTCGAATCAGGGGCGGCCCCGGGGCGCGCGCACTGCGACGTTTGCCCCCGCGACTCTCCACTAAAACGCGCTGGTCACCACCCACTTTCGACCCGATCCGTCATCCGATCCGAAACGTGTTCACTGTGATGGTAGTCCCCTCGACTCTCCACTGCGCCACGCCCATCAGAGGCCTGCCGCGCCTCCTGGTGATGCGCGATGTCCAAGGCCTGCCACGCCGCATGATGGCGTCGGCGATGTCTTGCGCCCGAAGCCCCCCGCACTCCCGCGTCTCCTTCACTCTCCGAGGCCTGCCGCGCCTCCTGAAGCGGCGCGACGCGCGAATGGCGAGGTCGCTCGGGCACACCAGCACCCGCTCGAAGAACGCGTCAACACCTGCCGCGCGTCCTGCATGCTCAGCTAAATCGAGTGCGACTGCGCCACTGCGGCGGCCCGCTGGCCATCGCAGTCGCCGATCCTGAGCTCGCGGTTCTAGTGGACGCGCGACCATTGTCGTCGTCGAAATCAAGGGCGGAGCCGAGGTCGCTGACCCGCCGTGCACCTGGCCTATCTCGGCGCCCATGCAACGTGCTTCGAGGCGACCTCTCCGCCGCCAACGTCGTCGTCCAGCTGGTCTGAGGCCGCGGTGGTCTCCGCCAGAGTCGACAACCTCCTGCTCGCGGGTCGTAGCATAGTCTCTGCGCGCTGGCCCGCGCTCCTCACGGTCGCGGGCAGACAGCCAGCGGGCCAGGTTGCGGCACCGGCGCCGCGCGCACTGGCGAGCTCTGAACGGCCCGTCGCAGACGTCGGCGGCCAGGCCGACGGCGGCAACGCGGGGCTCGGCGCGCCAGTCGCGCGCGGCTCGCTCCATCGCGAGCGGCCTCAGGCCCACGCGTGAGAGGTAGTTGGCCACGCGCGGCATGCAGAGACGCCCCCAGCGCACGCCGCCAAAGTCGTCATCGAAAGCGCGCGGGTCTGCGAGCCAGTGGCTGACGAGACCTCGCAGCACGCGTTCCAATTCGCGCCTGAGCCCGAGTGCCCGCTGCCGCTCGACGCCCATATCCCTCCAGAAGCAGAGGCCAAGGCCATCGTCAAGCATGTCGTTGCGACTTGGGTCGCTGTCGTCACCTTCGAGCGCGCGGGTGCGGTCGCTGTCCGTGCCAGTCCTCCTGCCTCCTGGTCGAATCCCAGTGGATCCTGTCGGTCCCACCGCGCTGAGCATCGCCCCCTGTGCCTGGTCAAATGGGCGACCACCTGCTGCCTGGCCGCGTCCAACTTGGCCTGGAGCTCGGCGGCGATCGCCAAGGCTCCGTCCAGGGCAGCAGCCGCCTCATCGCGTGCCTCGACGGACATGGCCGTGGGCTGCTTTGCTTTGCGCAA